GAAAAAAAAATAGATTTTTTGACCTGCTCATTAATCTTTGTCACTTCTCACCCACCCATCCTCTCCACACAGATCCCTCTTGGTCCCCTGTTTCTCCTTATGCTGGACTCCCCCACACTGACTCACCTCCTGCTTTTCCCAGATTTCACACGATCAAGAGGACTGTGTATCCTTCAAAGTTCACCAGTTCTTTAATGTGGGGCTCATCCAGCCGGGGGCAGTCAAGGTGTACTCCTATTACAACCTGGGTGAGCAGCCAACCTCGGGGCTGGGGCCTGAGGGTCCCATGGTTCTATAAGATGGGGGTCCCAGGGCTTGGTGATTGGGGACCTGGGAGTCCCAGGGTTCAGGACCTAGCATCTCCAGGTCTGAGGGACTGGAGTTGGGAACTGAGCCCAGGGCATGGTCCTGGGTGGAGGCTTTAGTTCTCTGAAGCCTCCCACTCCCTCTACCCACAGATGAGACTTGTACCCAGTTCTACCACCCGGAGAAGGAAGATGGAATGCTGAGCAAACTCTGCCACAATGAAATATGCCGCTGTGCTGAGGGTGGGTACACAGGAGCCAGGAAGTGGCAGGCCACGCCCACTTGATACCCCACCCCCCTCACACACACACCTTCCATGGCAGTGATGGAAGGGGCCCCAAAAGCCCACACCCAAGGGACACCAAGAGGGATGGGCCGAAGGCTGACCACACACATGGGTGGCGGGCCCTGGGTGAGAAGTGGAGTTTAGATCATGTCCCCTGCCCACCCATGCCGCAGAGAACTGCTTCATGCACCATTCAGAGGACCAGGTCACCCCAGAAGACCGGGTGGACAAGGCCTGTGAGCCAGGAGTGGACTATGGTGAGGAACGGGTGGGGAGACACACGTGCATGTGTGATTGTGTGTGAGTGATGGTGTGTGTGGCTGTGGTTGTGTGGGTGAGACTATGTGATGGCAGGTGTGGTCATGGTTGTGTGTGTGTGACTGACTGTGAGTGTCCACAGGTTCATGTGTTTCAGGCTATGGTTGTGGGTGACTAGTGTGTGTGTTATTAGAGGCCATGCTTGCTGGGGAACCATGGTTATGACTGGGCTGGGTACGTGCAAGAGTGTGAACAAATGAGGTTGTGAGTGTCTGTGAGAGTGTGGTTGTAAATAGCCATGATTG